ATAAATGTTATCCAGATATGGCCAAAATGTAGCAATAATGATGGGGGAAATAAAAATATATCATTTATTGAAAGTCTAAATGCCCAGTTCCACTATGGGAGTTTAGTGTTTATTATTTCTTTAATTTTCAAAACAAAACAACATTTTTTTCTTCCTTAAGTTCCTATTTGAAGTTTAAAATAAAACATTGAGGAGCACTAGGAAGAAAGTTTTCACAGAAATTAGGCAACGGGATGTTTTAAAAAGTATGCCTTTTGGGTACTATTTTTTTCTGTGATTTGCCATATTTTGACATAAGAATACTGCTTCTTGCCCTATTTTTAATGAAATATTCAAAGATTGCAGCCTTTTAATTATAGAGTTTTGGTGATTATTTTGCAAGAGTTTAATCAAGGGGGAACAAAAGCTTTATTAACCTGTTCGCACTCTCTTATTTGCACTCTGTGCTTGTTTATTATCTGTGAGAATATACTCCTCGTCTGGTTTGAAATGAAAGGATGAACCATCTCCTCATTACTGATCCTCTGCTTGGTGATGAAACACAAAACCAAAACACATGAACAAAGGCAAGATGCCTTTCTGTCATTTCTCGGCCTTCTTTGCTGCTGCTCAGCTGGGACATTGAAGAGTGGGGTTTAATAAAAGAAGGTGAGAGGTGAAAAAAAAAAAGCCCTAATGAGCATGTGTTTAGCTATATGGAAAGATCACTGAGAAGCAGCAGGGTTTTTCTTTCTGCCTAACATAACAGAATCCCCCAAGGTCAGAAAAGCCCATCATCCTTCTTCCTTCACGCATTCATTCCCTAACCAGGCAACCAGCCTCTCCACCTGAACTGATTTCATCAAGTTTCCTTTCCTAGTGCGGAGTGAGAAAGAATCTGACTTCCCCATCATTAGCTTGTCGTTCTTGAGAAACAGGCAGAGGGTTCTTTGGACTATTGGCTCCACTGGTAGAAGTATTTCTCAAGCATGCAGTCCAGATCTCCAGCTCAGGTAACAGAGCCCCATCCCGATTAGCAGTCTACTGGTTGCTTACTCTATAGAATAAAGCAAATTCTAGTCTGGTGTTATTCTTTTCACCAGGAATGAACCAAATTCCATTCTGGCATTGTAGAGCCACCGAGAAACAAAATACCTTACTGCTGCTAAGTTGAGCCCAAAACCACTGCTGAAGTTCTAAAGCAGTGCTCCGAATTAGAATGAAATTGTGCAGTTATAACATCATTTGGAAACTGTGTTTAATCAGTGAGTGTTGCTGCATTGTAGTGTAGGCATCACACCAAAAATATCAAATAAGGTGTGAGGAACAAACTTGTGTAGCACTCTAGAAACTAAGGGAGTGAGGTTTTTAACTTTACTAGCTTTCAAACCTGGGAAATCATTACTCATCATGCTCTACACACTATTCTGTTAAGGAATGAGAAAGAGGTAGTCACCAACTCCACCAAGTTCAAAAAGAAACCTTGGAGTGCAAATCCTATCTGAGCAACAATTCTCTCAAAGATAGAGTGCACGTCTTTAACGTCCAGGATGACTATTAACATTTGGGCAGGAACAAATTTAGATCTTTCTTTGAAGTTGCAGTATGCTGCCTTAACTGTGCTCTTATCTTCTATATTTCTCAGAGTGAATAACCAAAATTATTCAGAATGGTAGCAAATTGGCTCATCATAGTCCTTTCTAATTCTAAATGGATAAAGAAGTAAAAAGAAAAAACAACCCAGGAAGTCTAGTATATAGTAGTCTAGGGACGAGGGACTAGTTAAGCTTATTAAGGGACTGCTAAAGTCTTTTCTCAGAATGTCAGTGGGTCAAGTTCAGCCTAGGTCTGTGACAAAGGACCAAGGACCATTCACTGTCTTGTATTAAATGTGAATTAAATGTCTGCATGCCCTTGACACAATGTACCTAATAGGGATACTGATGGCTTGCACCTGTGATTCCTGCTGACTCTTATGAGTTCAGTGGATGGCCAACCACATGTGGAAATGGCATCATTTCCTTCCATATAAAGGTAATATTGTCGAAATGTGAGCCGAGAACTATAATGCAGTTTGATACATGCTCTCAGAGAGGCAAGGGGCAGCAAAGGAAAGGGACAGAGAGGAACGGGACAGCACTTTTTGACAGTCAGTCTAACACCTCGGGGAGCCCAGCATAGACTATGAAATTTAAAGACATAGGAGTATGACCACAAGAATAGCATTTTCCAAACAATATAATAACTCTCAGTTTCAACAAAGCTTTCACTGTGGTGATAAAATGTCAGGTCACAAGTCACATTTAACTCCATTACTGAACATTATCCTTGAGCTCTAAATGGAGTCTGTACAATTCACAGCTGTCAGGCTACATCTGCCCGCCCCCAGCCCCATGACCCTCCCTCCCCCTGCCACCACCACTACCACCACTAAGACTGAGAAACAGGCTAAATAATTTGAGCTGCAGGAGGCACTACTTGATTAGATTCCTAATGATTGCCTCTGTAGGCAGGTCACTTTGGCCAATCACTCAACAAACAGACTTCCAAGGCATTTAGACCCCAGGTTTCTGCGTGACATTTCCCAGAATTCAGTAAGGAAACTCAGCACAAATCAAGGAATCTCAAATGACTTAAAATGATTAGATGGTTCCTCTTTTCTGAAGCAAAGGTTGGTGTGGACATGTTAAGATAGGCGATGTCCATGTTCACTCTCGATAGGCGAAAACGGCTTCACCTTTAAATTTAGATATTGACCACCAGAGGATAGCTGCTCAGTGGGTGAATGTACCAGACAGACAGTCTGAGGTTGTAACAGCATGTGCACCTGACTGAGACTAAGCCCTCTGCCCCTACCAGGACCACAGAGCACATGGCTCCAGGGAAGCAGATGGCAGCCCATTGCTTGAGAAAGCTAAGGAGTGAGTTCTTTCCCTGAGTTGAGGTGTCCTCCTGCCAGGCAGAACAGGAGCTGCCAGGGAGCTGCTTTGAATGACAAGCATGCACAACTGATGACACCAAGAATTAGGGGACAATGAATTGCTTCTTGTCTAGTCTCCAGTTACTTGGGCAGTGAAGAGTTTGGGAGTAGGTGACAGGCACAAGGAGAGCAAAACTCTGTGACTATTTCCTCTTTAGGCAGGCTGTGAAAGAAAGGTAAATTCTTCCTAGAAGAAAACAAAAAGCAACAGATAATGAAATCTATACCCCCCAACCCCCCCACACCCCTGCCCCAAGGTATGGAAAGGCTTGGCTTTAATGCCTAAAGCTGAGGACCCATCCACCCATCCCTCACTGCTCCAAGAGCCTGTCTTTATACCCACCGTGCAGAAATTGATCAGGACTCTCTCTCTCCCTGATAATAAACAGGAAATTCTTTGGTGTTTTTTTCCTGACGTAAAGCAGTCTAAGGGGATTCTCAAAGCTGCACGCAGGAATCCTGGGTATGATCTGGCCTCTTGACCGAAAAGCAAAATTTACAGCCTTCCCTCTCCTTAGTGTGGAGCCCTCCAACCTCCAGCTTCCTCCGCTTCTCCGGAGTCTCACTCTGACTCCAAATACGGGGCTGAGAGATGCTGAGATTTGCAGGCTGGGCTCAGTGTGGAGCAAACATTTAGGGTGCGATCGCGATCGAAGGGGAGTAGACGCGGCGGGGATCAGGGTTGGGGTAGAACATGCAGGAACTGTCAGGAGATGAACACCTAGGCGTCCATGCAGAGCAGCAGGGCTGGGCGCGACCCCTGCGCCTTTGGCCGGGGGGCGGGGGGAGGGTGAAGGGGATGCGTAGCGACGTGACTCCAGCAGCAGGTGGAAACTGAGCCCTCGTCTCCCCATACGACTCACGAGAGACGGGGGTGGGGAGTGGGGGGTGATGCAGAGTCGGGTCGGCCCCGCGCGGCACGGGCTGGGGGTGGGAAGGCACCTTCTCCGCCCCAGCCGTGGCCCGCGCGTGGCTGGCTGGTGGCTCTGCAATTCACCATGATAAATGTAAAGACCAATTAAGGTTTGATCCGTGCACACGGGGAGGCAGACGGCGGCTGAGAGTGGAAACCAATTAGCGAGCGTGTCCCTAATTCCTGCCTCGGCTGCACGCCCCCCACCCCCGCCTCTCACCCCGAGTCCCGCGCGCCCCGCTCCGGGTCCTGGAGGTGGGGTGGGGGCTGCGGCGGGAGAGTCCAGCTCCCGACCGCTGAGCCCGAGGAGCCGCGCCCCCGGGTGGTCGGGGAGGGGACGCGCCGGCGGGGAGGCGCCGCGCCAGCCGCCTACGGAGCCCAACTGTTTGCTGCTGGGCCGGCCCCGGGGGGCGGGCGAGAATGTCCGCGCCGCGAGGGGGCGGCGGGGGCCGGCGCTGCCCGGAGGGCGGAGCACAGGTGGCCGCGCGCTGCCGCCGCCAGGTAGCCCAGGGCGCCCTAAGCTCCTCGACACCCCCGTCCCCGCTCCCCACCAACCCCGAGTTCAGGTCGCTTCCCGCTGGCTGCGGATCCGGGTAACGGGACCCAAGGTTGTCGCACTCCCGACCCGGAACCCACCCCGGAGTGCCTCGGCCTTTTCCCTGTCCAACCCCCCTGTCCACTGCCTCTCCCGCCCTCCCTTTCCCCTTCCGGCGCGACCCGCTGCCCCAGACGTCACCCCCGCGCTAAGGTGTTGGCCTTGAGCGTGATGAGTGGCCCCGAGGTCGGGGGCGGTGCGGGCACCGGCCAGTCCGGGGCTCGGCCGGGGTGGAAGGTGATCCCGGAGGGCAGCCGGGTGGCCACGGGGAGGGTCCCCCTCCCATCCTTCTCCCCTCTCAATCCCCCCATCAGCCCCCAAGGACCGTGACGGCGGCCCCGAAGTACGGTGACACGGGCCGGACAGGCCGGTCTTCTCCGGCCCGCCGGGGCCGTGTCTCCGGCGCCCGCAAAGTTTGGAGGCGCGGGCGGCGCGCGGGCTCCCTCCCCGCGCAGTTCCCTCGGCGGGGTCTGTGCCGCCGCCGCCGCTGCCAGGGCAGGACAAAGGCTCATTAACACGTGATGGGACCGCGCTTCATAAATGGGACCCGAGCGCCAGGCAGCCAGAGCCCGAGCGCCAGCCGAGGGAGAGGCAGGGACGGCGCGCGCGGGCCGAGGCGAGGAGGCGACAGGGGCTCCCCACGCGGGGCCAGGCGGGGCGAGAGCGGGAGGAGCCCGGTGCCGCGGCCCAGGAAGGGGCGAGGCTCGCGGGCCGGCGGGAACCACCCCGGGGGCGCCAGTCCCGGCCAGGGTGCTGGCGTCGCGGACCCACCGACGCAGGGCACACGCCCCGCGCCACCCCACCTAGGCGCGCCCGCGTCCCCCGCGCCCACCGCGGCCACCCCCTGCCTCCACCGTTGCTTCTCCGCCTCCGCCTCTCCAGGGCGCCCGCGTTGCGGGTGCGTTTCTGGGGAGCGGGCGGGGCGCTGGGCTCCCCGCAGAGCTCTCCGGAGAGTCGCGGGGTTGGGGTGGGGGGCATCCGTGGGGTTCGGGGCCGGGAAGCCGCTGGCCCTGCGGCTGGCGGGCAGTGCCACGGGAGCGATTCTCCTTCCCGAGGACGGGGGATGCCAAGGGTAAGGCGGGCAGAGTTGCTGCGTTTGGAAACACTTTCCCCCCAGCTGCTTCCCGCCCTCTAGGGTACTGGCCACTGGCGTGGTCCCCAAGTGTCCTTCGGGGAGTTGTTGAGGGTGTGAGCGACGCGCGCGTTGGTGTTTACTCAGCGCTGGAGCCCCCAACCGTGGTGTGTTGCTGCTACGTCTGGGGGTTCCTGCCATGCTTCAGTGGCTGAACGTGTGTGCCCAGGGTTCTGCGTGCGCAGAGGGTCGGCTGGCAGCGAGTGTGTGATTGTGCATGTTTGAAAAACAGGCGCTTGAGTTGGTGCTGAATGTCAGTAAACCGGATCCGCGACGGAGCCTTCTCGGACTGAGAGATCGGGTTCTGCATCAGATCTAGAAACTGTTTCAAATCAAATAGGAAACAGCCTATACAGAAAGGTATGTCGAATAATAAACTTTTTCTATAAAATTTGAAAAAATAGAGAGCTGCAAGAACCGCTCTTCCGTGAGGAAAAATAAATTTGCGTCGTACTAATTTCTGAATGTGAATGTCGAAGGAAGCTTTTAAGCTCGAATTAGCCATTAGGTGGATAAAGTTCATGTGTTTTTATAGGACGTTTCTTTTGCTAAGACTCAGTCTCCACAAAACGACCATCTCTTGAGTGCAGATGTTTTTGCTATGGCAGAAACTGTCTTTTGGGCATCGGAAAGTTTAAAAGCGACATGCATATTTACAATTTTAGTTTTATATGGAACATATGAGGGGAAATAATAACCTGTTAATCATTTTGCTTCTTTTGTTTTTATGTTCCTCAAAATAAGCGCGTTTCTTGCCTTTCTTGGTATTTTCTTGAGATACTAAGTATCCTTGGGCGTTTAATCCAGTAAGAGATTAAAAGAGATTTACTGGTTTTAAAGGTGTTGATCTCTATGGGTCCCAGAGCTTCTTGTTTTTATCTCCGAGTTAATAGCGTTTGAACAATGGGGGATGCAATTTCTTAGCTGAAACTCAGTGGACATTGAGTAGCGGTGGGGTGACCACTACCATCAATCTATTTTGCAGAATATTGAGAAACTGGGAGCAGCCAACCTTTAAGGTTCCCCTAGGACTTGATCTGATTTAAAGTGTTGCTTTTCTAATCCCACCCTTCTGACAGTTTGCAAGGGAAGATGCAATGATTGATTTTTCTCTGTCCCTGTTTTTCCTCCCCCTCCCTGCCCTCTTAACTCATGTGTAATTTTTTGTTATCAGAGTAAACGACTGTGCATAGTTTCTTAAGTGAGACAGATTATTTTCTGACTCTAGTCACGAACAGAATCCGTGCACCACCAAAATTACAAATGTTGCATATTGCAGGTGACTATTTGTAGACGCAAAAGCAGTTGAGCAGTTGCTGTAGTTGACCAGGAGATTTGATGATGGACCTGCCTTTTTCAAAACTGACCATTTTAGACTATCAGAATTTACTATCCAAGAAATCTTTATGTTCCAAAGATGTCTTCCTCTCTAACATGGAGCAATCTTGGCTGAGATATGTATCAAGGGTGTGAGAAGGAGAGGGCTCATTGTGTTCTGAAGTCTCCATGTGAGGTTAGAAAAACATTGGGATGCAGGACATTCAGTTCTCAGCATTGAGAAATGAAAGTACTATGCTTGCATGCTTGTGGTGAGGGAGGCAAATGAGACATTCATGCACCCAGTTTCTAGTATCAGTATTTGTGCATATGAAGGAAATGTGAAGCTTTGTTCTTTAAATAGCCCATAGGTGCCATTATTCAATTTGGCCTGTGAAATTGTAAATGCTGATGCAAATCCCATCTCATGTTGGAGTGTTGCTTGGCTTGGTTAGCCACTGTTTTCCGTCTTTTTCTGTTACCCTTTTCCCAGTGGACTGTGTGCCTCTCTGTCTCGCCTGTGAGACTGCTCTTCTCTAATAAGCCTAGCTGCAGGATCAGTATGTTCTTTTTGGCATTTGAAAATGTTAAAATAGTGAAATTGTTAAATGTTACCAGGATGAAACGGCTGGAAATGAAATCCTCCAGCAGAACTAGGATATTTGTAGCATATTCCAATCTCTTCCAAGAGAAAGCTTCTTGAATTGGTTTACCTGTTTTCTCAAGAAAGCGGCAGCCCCATTGATTGTGCTGATAAGTGTTTAGCATGCAGTGTCAGCTTATTAATTTCTAAGACCAAGACTGAAAAAAAAAACTCTTTCAAAACAATTGTATGACATTCTTCTCTGCCTTGACTTAGAATTCACATTCATCACCAGGAAATTTAGGCAGGCGCTTGGTTTTATATTGCATATTGTATATGGAATTAGAATTGGGATACTTTGTTGTATAAGAATAAACTGTTATGAAATGGAAATGATAATAGCAGTTCATAGGTCACCACCCTTACCAAATGTTTCTTTCCAGAAAACAGTTGGCTTAGTAAGGAAAGAGATTATTTCCTATAATGAGCTCCCCAGGAATACTGCAATAAAAGAATGATGAATTGAATATGGATATACCTACCAAAACATGATGAATAAAAGCAGATTTGGTTACTGCGTCTTGAATTTGGTTAGTAAGATGGAGCCTGTCCTTTAGGTTGTTGCCTGTTGTTATGGGGGCAATTTTGTTAGCTCAGTTGCGTGTAGAACACAGAAGAGCTTTCATTCCTGCAAAAGGATGCCATGTCTCCAACCAGTGTAAGTCTGTCTCTTCTATTTTTGTATTCATCATTTTCTAATTGAACTGACAAATTAGTGACTGTGAAACCAGCCTGTGGCTTAAATAATTTATAATTCTGTTTTTGACTCTGAAACAACCTGGACCCAACATGGTTTAAAAAAACTGTCCTAGGGCTGAGTTTAGATAGCACTGCTGTTATTTCACAAGCTCTGCTGATTTTTCTTTTATTGACTGGAGATAGTCATGAAGTTAACGAATAAGAGGAAATCAAAAACAATTTATATACTTTGTGCTGGCGATAATTTAACTTCTAATTTCTCTGCCTGACTCCAGCTCTTTCCTAATCCTGTTCTTATACTAATGTTAACTTTGTATTCTGACTGCATGGATCCTGTTTTGGAGGGGTTTGGGGATTTAGCACACTGCCATTGAATTGCTATGTTATGTTTTGCTAATCATGTACCTCACTTAATCTATATATTCCAAGAGCACACTGGATTAACTTTATCACATGTTATGGATTTCTTCATAATGTTATGGATTTCTTCAAAATATTTTCTGAACAGAAGAAGTAAATGTCATTAAGGAAAGATATGGTACCAATACACACATGTGTTATGATATACATATATACTCACTCATATATATATATATATATATATATGAGAGACAGGAGAGAGTATGATTTTAGATGATTGGATATATAAACACACCTTTACATATATGTCCAAACATTTTCATAGACTATATCTTGACCAAAATAAAAATTTAGACCTACTGCCTTTGTTTATACAAACCTGGAATTATGCTCTTAAGTGTATGAATTTGGTGAAATGCCAAACTCAAGGCAGCTGTTCAAAGGGACTTTGAAGATGTGACCAAACGAAGTTCCCACCTGAGACCAAACATGACTGTTCTTACTTTCCAGGTCAGGTTGAACTCTGTTTCAATCCTATGTGTTCCAAGACTCTTGCAGATATGCCAGGGTAGACGTACCGAAGCTGATTATACTATTTTATAATAGACATTGATTAGTGGGTCTAACAATGTTTCCACCACTTGTTAGTCATTGATTATTTTTAGAAAGAATTTGGAAGGAAATATACAAGGTTATTACTTTGTCATCAAATGTATATTAACAGTTATATTTGTTCTCTGTAGCATATTTTCATATTACCATACATAAATCTAGAGGGAATTTATGAGGGGGAAGCAGGAAGGAGGTTTTTAGTGGCCTCCTAGTGCTACTATTCAATGGTTTGGTGGTAGAGAACTTGCTGTCTTAAAGTTGCCTGCATCAATAAGAGGTAAATTTATGACCTATCAGTAATAATAGGTCAGAGCCATTACATAAAGCAATCAGTGTGATACCACTAGTTCTTAACATAAAATATTTACTGAATACTTTCCTGGGTCATATTTCTTCACTGGACAGGTGCCACAAGGAGGGAAAAAAAGTATATTTCAATATACAGTTTTTCTATACAGTTGCATTTACAAATATTTTAATGTCATTTTCATTGATGTTTTACATATATTTAATTACTTTCCATATAGAACATAAACTAATTACATGTGATATTCTAATTTAAAAGTTTCATTTGGACAGGTTAAATTCAAAACTTGGTGACAGTGGAGTTCTCCAGGTTCATAGTTGTGTTCATATGGGTTTTGAGAGAAGAACTGTTTATTCACGAAAATGGGTCTGGCAGAGTCCTAGCAGTTATTCTAGAATACTATGAATTCTGTTTTAGTCCCAGCTGGAGGAATTTTCACACCTGCACTTTAGGAAAGATTTCAAAGTTTGGTTTTGTTTTCTTTTGTTTTTGAAAATGTGAGTTGAGATTGCTTAGATGGGAATCAGTATTTTTTTAGACAGCTTTTCCCTTAACCTCTTATAGTATTCTATATTCTTAAATGTTTTATCAAGTAAATTTTGCATTTTGGGGAAAGTGAAAGGGGATTTAAATTCTTTTGTCCTCTAAAAATGATGACTAATCAGTTTTCTCAAAGAGTATAGTAATTTACTAACCTAATGTCTTATTTTTCCATTCTAATTTAGATTTTTTATTTGCTTAGAATTTGGATTTGTTGAATTGAGATTTAATTTCTTACCACCATTGCCAATACCATTAAATTATTTAACTATAGGATATAAATACAAT